ATAGAAACACCATACATCCCGATACAAATATCTATCGGTTTGAACAGGGTCTCTATGGGGTATTTTAAGCAGGGTTTTTCATAATATATTTAAAACTGCTTTTTATATATTTTTATAAATTTTAGTTACCAGTGGCTATATATCAGCATAATAAATACACAGCTTTGACGATTTTTTATTACTTAATAATTTAAAAACATTTTATTTATTCACAAAATAACGCGCGTGCTAAAAATTTTTAATATAATTTTGTAAGGTGACCAAAAATTACGCCTTAAAGAAGTAATTTTGAGGGGGCAATACAGTAATAAGATAAAATAATCCAAAGAGATTAGAGAACCTTTCCTTTTTTAATTAACACAAAGCCTAGTCCAAAAGAGGATACTTAATATGTCTCTTTGACGTTTTCAAAAATCAAACTTAATTATTGGCCATAAACGAAACTAATTCAAATTGGTCCGAGCAGATGACCATTAAACTAGTTTGCAAATGTCAACATTGTCCCAATTCGAAAATTCGATTCGGCCCGATACGCCACTGATTAAGCCTCCACTTCCCTCAATGTAGTGTTGATGCGACGGAACGCGACTCAATTCCATATAGATGCAAATGAGCCTGGCGCGATTCCGGCGACGATTTTCGTGAAACGCGCTTAATTACATCACTTCCGGTTTGTACACTGTTCCGTCTGAGCCCTCTGCAAGCCCGGCCTTGCCGCCCACCCGGTGCCTTCGTCGCCTTCCGTTTAATTAAGACGAAGCCGCCGCCGTCTAACGAGCAACGATACCAGTTTACACTGTTACTCTGTCGGTAATAAAATTCCTCTTAATTTAATGCCGTTTAATTGCGTCAAAGTAGATGTACAAAAAAAAACTCGTGTTCTTAGGAAATGTTTCCATTGGTCCAAGCACTTATTTTGATAAATTTTTCACTTTTAGGTCACAAATCGTCGTTAATTTTACAAAGTGTCGTATCTCATTTTTTATTATTTTTCAGGCGAATGTTTAGTTTGTATATGTAAGTGTCGTATCTCATTTTTATTATTTTTTGGGACGAAGGTTTAATTTGAAAATAAGGTCACAGTTCAAAATAGGGTTTTTTGAGAACCGACACTTTGTAATATTAACGACGAATTTGATACAACACTTTGTGATATTAACGACGAAATAGTTCAGTCACCTGAAAAATTTAGAAAATTGGTATTTTTTTTAGATTTTGACGTGCTTTTCGAATTTTCACTTTGGCACCTCGTATTACGCCGCCATATTGGAAAAATGAAATAATCTCCCTTCTGACTTATATCACGATAAAAATTATTATATTATACGCTAAGCATCGCTAGTAGCGCCACCACGTGGCCGTTATCATCGCAACAAAAGTACAACTTTTAATAATCAGCTGGCGAAAGCGTATGTTAAAAACGAGTGTTTTTGAGAATAAGGCCGGAAAATGTTAAGAATATAGAGAGAGAAAAACGTTGAACAATTTGTTGTGTTGCTGAGTGTTTTTCGAGAAAAAATCCTGGGTTGCGTTTTTACCGGTTTTCCAATAAACAGTGGAAATCCGTTAATATAAATTGTAGGTACGTATTAGATACAATAAATACACATTTTAGTAATGATTTACGTGGAAATTGTAAACATTTCATTTGAGTAAAAAACATAAAACAAAAAAGTCGTCTAAATTCAAACGGCGTTATGCATTATTAAAAGCGTTTAAAAGTTTTCACTCAAAGGTAAAAAACAAAAACAGATATTATATTATGTATTATATATAATATGTTGACATGAATTCGTAGATATATTTTCTTGTTTACTATTTTAAAATGCAGTTGTCGGCGACTTAAATATAAAAATGTTTGATTTAAAATTTATTGTTGACAATTCTGGAATCTTACCAATGCTATCGAGCACCACCAGATGGCGCCTACGTTGCGAAAACCCGATTCTTTAGCGTATAAATAAAATAGAGAAAATATACTATAACTTGTTTTCTGAAATATTTTGAGAATGCTCTAAATTTTCTGTTGTGAATAAGGCCCACTGGAGACCACAAAAAACGCGTCGTTTTACCTCCTGGTGATGTGTGGAGTTTTTTCTCCAATACGCGTGTTGGAGTAGACTTGGCTCGTATACGTATAGCGTATATATACGTATAGAGTATATATACGTATAGCGTATATATACGCTAATATTATTTGATTTACAAAAAAGGCATATAAATAATTCATTACGTTGTTCTCTAAAATAAATAATATCGGCGTAATTATTATAGGAAATAGGTATACAAGGTCTCCGAAAACACGCGCAACAGAGATGCATAATTTAAAAATTTTCTAGGTAGTAGTGTAATCAAATGAGAACAAAAAAACGGCAGCCAATACCGAGAGCTCTCGCCTAGGTTAAACGTAGAAGCTTTAAAAATGGCTAGGAGGGGATAGCACATTGTTATCTTAAAACTTTTAAAAATCTTTTGTCCGACTAACCTTTTAAAAAGGAATGTCATACTTTAGGACGCCAATGTTTTAAAGTAAAAATTAAACAACTAGTTCTGTACCCCAGAGCCTAAATCTCTAGCAACCACTTCCGGCTGCAGGGTTGCTGCACTCCCGTATAATAAACGTCCTTCATAACCCACTGAACTTTAAACGAGAAATTCGCGTGCAACTTCTCTTATGCTCTTCCTACTATTTGCATCAAAGGCATTGAAAATTTTCCGCTGTTCTAATCCGTTAAAGAGCACCGTCAATTTCGTTACAACGCAGGGGACGATCGGGAAAGCGCTGGGAAAAAACTCGTGCTGCCTCCTTAGCATTGCGCCCATACTCACCTTAAATAATCATCATCATTGCGGTATAATCAAAGGGCGAAACCATAACTTAAAATGATAAATAATGACAGGAACAAAAATTGACAGCACACACAATGAAACGGATTCCAGTCGACCAAATATTTTACATATTATAATATTTTATTTATTTATTTATTTATTTATTTTACACTATATATAGCTAGCAAAACAGTTCTTCAGAATTGGTACCGCATCCTAGCAATTTAAAGAATTCCCTTTGGCCATGTATTGGGATTGGCTATCGTTTTTTATTTTTATCTTGCTTATCATTTGCGTTAGTTAATTTTAATTTTCAAGTATGTGTTTCGCATAACTTTCGCACGTTCTCTTTTTCTCAGTGGCGCGAGTTCTGTTAAAATGATATCTTTAGTTTAATTCATCATACTAATCGTAAAATGAGTAAGAAAAAAAAATGTTTTGGCCCAATTTTTTGAATACGCCATACATGCACGTCGAAATCTATAAAACCCAATTACCAAATGACTGGTCTAATAGGATAGGATTTTATCTACCTTTTACTGTTTGAAATAGTTGTAAGCATACAACCCCCCCCCAACAAAGAATCTGTAAAAGTTACACCCATAGTGCTAAAACGAAATATAACACGGCAAATGTTATATTTCATTACGACAAATAAATAAAAGAAATACTTACGATAATAAAGCTCATTAATTTAGTAACCCACGGTAATTTTGAGGTGTTGTATTCATGGGGAAAGTATTTAAAATGGAAATAATAAATACATTAAAAAGGACAATAAATCACGTTTGACTCAGGTGCAAGACCTGGAAGGCACCCGTTTATTTTTTTATAATTACCTCTCATAAAACCTTCCAAAATGAAGGATTAAGGAGTTAAACGTATTAAACACTAAAAATTTATAACAACCAATAATGATATTTATTTGGATAAAGCAACAACAGTTACGCCAACCCAAACGACATTTAACTTATTTTCTGAAAGAGAACTCTGAAAGAACGGGACATCCTACAAACCCACATATAAAATAAATAAATGAATAAAAATACATCATAACCATAAGATCAGGTAGAGTCTTAACGCATCTACAAGTATCTCAGGTGCGAGTCGAACTCTTTATCTGATGTGATGTTCGTTGGTTTTGTTTATTTGTTTGTTGGGTAAAAGTAGATTAAGTCTCTATATTTATATTTTAAATGTAACTTTATCCGCCAAGAATCCAATCCACATTAGGTATCCGTCATGCGAACAAAGTTTTATAATTATTAAGTTTACTGTTACAATCGACTGTTGGAAAAGGGAGTAAATAAATTATCGGGTTCGAGATCGTTTCAATTGAAGGTTCGCAGTTGTCTATTATGCCTCATTTGTCGGCAAACTTTAATAAATTTATAATTATAATTACCATAAAATACTAGGTAATAAAAATGACACAAATAACAAAGACAATGTCTGCGTCTGCGCAGTCAGATAAAACCAGACCTGCCGGCACCTAAATAAATTTACAGGAAAGTAATTCTAAATGAGCTTATTATGTCAGGAGACCACGGTCAGTGGTATAAATTAAATGTCGCTATCGCACAATCACTGTTGCTACTCACTCGAAATGTAATACCAAATAATTAAATATGACTGGTAAAAATCACTTATATAATTACGGGACATAAATGTGAATCTGGGGATACAATTTAATAATTTCCCTATTTAATAAAATCAATATCAAGAATTTTTAATTTACAGTGTTTATGAAAAATATTGATTAAAATATTTAAATAAATTCAAGTACAACCCTGATATTTAGTTAGAATAGATCTTTTAATTAGATAAAATCAAGTACAACCCTTACCTTTTAATTCATGTTTATTATTTAGAATCTAACGTAATGTGAGATTGTTCAATAGTAAATTTACATAATTTCGTTCATAAGCGTGGTTTATTAAACAGCAGCCATCATGGCGTAATATAAAGATCAATGACGCCAAGTCAGTTGATCGAATATTTATCTTTACACAAGGTATTTGTGTAAACTAATTATACCAAATTGTTCGGGAATGTTTATACTACAATAATTTAGTTATTAAAATGTACAAACCTATAAATTTCTTCACACAATTTTTAATAAAATTTACTATTGTGGGTATTCCACGCTCTAAATTAAACTTTCTTCTTAGGAACTAAACGATTCGGAAGGTGCTCAAACGATCAACGGTCACCTCAACGTTGATGACAATAGCGCCACCTGCCAGGAATCGAAGAGCAACGGGCAGTTGATGAAGATGAAGCACATGGGTCAGCTGTGGCTGGCCGCGGAGGTGAAGGCGCTAGAGAACCGCGTTCGAGGCAAAACGGCGCTGTCTCCCTATCTGGTGCTGGACGCGGACTCGCTCATCAAGTTCACCTACATGGTCAAGCATCTGGTGCACTCGAGGAAGTTCATCGTCCTGGTGCCCACTGCAGGCAAGTCAATTTTAAATAAATACAGGGTGTTTCATAATACATGCGCAGGACTTCAGGATGTGATAGCTCATCCAAAAAGATGAAAAAAGTCGCTATTAAGTTACGCTCTAAAATGCACAATTTTCGAGATACAGGGTGTTGAAATTTTAGAAAAAAATTCGTTTTTTTCGAATATCTCCGGAACCGTTTATCGTACAAAAAACAGCTTTTGTAAGCATTTTCTACTCAAAATAAGAGATTTTGAAGGGGTAGCGGGTGTTTTCTCCTCAACTTCTACGCCCCTGAAAAAAGTACGGTTTTGAGAGGCCCATTCGAACCGCCAATGTTTTCTACACAAAAAAGGTACTCCTGGTCATAAGCTCTAAAGTTAAGTAAAGTAAATTAAACAAAATTTATTTTAACGTTAGGACAAGTAACAAAACCAAACCATAATTGCAAAATAAAAAATAATTTAAAAGTTGTCTATGCTTAATTCTCCAAACCGTAAAGGTAACGCATTTCGCACATTTCAGCATTTGAGTAAAAAATCATTTTTTATTTTTTTTTTAATTTTGCAATTATATTTTGGTTTTGTTACTTTTTCTAACGTTAAAATAAATTTTGTTTAATTAGCAATAAAAAAATTTTTTCAAAAAATTGACCATGTTTTTAAACATAAAAGTTGATTTTTCTCGAAAACGGTCAACTTTAGAGCTTATGACCAAGAGTACCTTTTTTCTGTAGAAAACATTGGCGGTTCGAATGGGCCTCTCAAAACCGGCCTTTTTTCAGGGGCGTTGAAGTTGAGGAGAAAAACACCCGCTACCTCTTCAAGATCTCCACCAATTATGAGTAAAAAAAAATTTTTTTCTGGCACAAAACATAGCTTATTATGAGTAGAAAATGCTTACAAAAGCTGTTTTTTGTACGATAAACGGTTCCAGAGATAATCTAAAAAAACGATTTTTTTCTAAAATTTCAACACTCTGTATCTCGAAAATTGTGCATTTTAGAGAGTAATAATAGCGACTTTTTTCATATTTTTGGATGAGCTATCACATCCTGAAGTCCTGCGCATATATTATGAAACCCCCTGTATATACTATACAGGCTGTCCTGAAATTAGTGCACCATACTTTAACAGCCGATTCTACGTGCAAAAATAAGAATTAACGTCCCTATAAACATAGGTCAAGAAATGCCTCTTAAGGGAGCTACAGCCCCCTAAAGGAAAGCCCCTGAAGAACGTTTTTATTTAATATCTCCAAAACCGTTAAAGATAGAAAAGTGAAATTTGGGGAATTAATAGTAATTAATAGTAATTTAATAACAATAACAATTTAAAAAATTTCATGAGGTTTGGGTCAGATTGATGGGCAGTGGGGTTAAAACCACTTTAACTTTTTTGTACGTATCTTGTACCAGAATTTTATGTCAGATTATGAAATTTTGGAGTTTTGCACATAAAAAAGGTCATCTTGTTGAACTTCGTTAACATCGGTTAACATACACCGTTTTCGCTTAAAATCGATTTGAAAATTATTTTTCTTACTACCTCGACTCAAAATACGTTGTTTCGTCCCCGATTCCACGGCAGAAAGTTTACGTTTTATGCATTGGTCAAGCTATACGCGCACACTCTAATAGCGGGAGTAAAAATTTTTTAGTCGTGTGCTTAACATTCAAATTTCGTACTGCCAACATGAGAAACACAAAAGTTGACAGTTTTAAACCATAATTTTGCAATTTTATAATTGCAAAATAAATAAACAATTTATGTTTTTACTTTTACTTTTTTACTTTTTATGTTGTTTTAAGTGTTTAATGGTACTTTTATTTGTTATAAAGTAGTAATTTGTTAATTAAAATACAACGTTTTATTTTTACTGTATTGGCACCGCTGAATTCACGGCCTACTGTTATTTATTTATCAAGCTCTTCAAATGGAGATAGACATAAATACACATTTAATTTTTTCCTGTATTTTCGGCCGAGGTACAGTGGCGTGCAGGACGGGCCCCGCAGGGCCCGCGGTGCGGGGGGGGCCCCCGACCTTAGGGGGGCCCCGTAGAGAACCACATTGGGTGGTTTAAGTGACAAAGGGGCCCCAGCTCAAAATTTGCGGGGGGGCCCCCGATCACCTTTGCACGCTACTGCCGAGGTAGTAAGAAAAATAGTATACACTACACGGGCAGAAAGTGTGAGAGCCCTGAACTGCGCGCCATGATGCCCTCGGCTTCGCTTCGGGCATCATGGCGCGCAGTGCAGGAATCTCACACTTTCTGCCCTTGTAGTGTAATATACTATTCTATGGCATAAAAATTCACAATTAAATCACAACCATAGAAATGGACTGGCATGTTTGGGAAAAAATAGAATAATGACAGGGTGTTTCTACTTTTTAATAAATATTAGATAAAAACCATATTCAGGGGCTCCCTTTTCGGGGGCTGTAGCTCCCTTAGAAGGCATTTCTCGACCTATATTTATAGGGACTTTTTCTTATTTTTGCATGTAGAATCTGCTGTAAAATTATGGCACACCCTGTATAGAGACCCTTTATTTGAAAGTAAAATAATGATTTTTTGGGAATAAATAATATTTCTCTTGACAAACCTAATTTAATACAGTTTTTCACAAATGTTTCAAAAAAGTCCATATAGACTACTACTTAAAAATTAAGGACGGCCATTTTCGTTTGTTAACCAAAAATAAGCCTTGTCGCTAAAAATGATTTTATTAAATAAAAATTATCGCCAATCTATCAGATTCACAAAAATATTTAATACAGAGTGTTCCATTAGAAGTTTCTGGGGAAAGGAAAAAGATATCGATTTTAAATTTTAATCCATTTAAGTTCATTTTTCTATAATATTTTGAACAAAATGCCACTTTCTGTTTAACCGGAAGTGACATCAACTGTGTTATTTCAAATGGAACACCCCATATATTTTTACATTTTTAAATTCTACATAAAATTTCGAGTAAAATGAACCTCATCTGATTTTGATGTTTTTTTTTTAAATTGTAGGTTGATGATGTACGTAGACATTTTTTTAATCCTATTTTTGCATGTACAGGGAAGGATTTTAAAGTGTCGAAAAAAAAATTGAGAAAAAACCTGTTTTTCCGTTTTTTTTCCCAGGCCTTTTTTGGGAAAAATTGATTTTTTTCTGAAAACTTACAAAGCAATCAACAACTTAACAATATTTTAATTAAAAAAAAATATCCTTAAGGATAATAACTTTATTACAGAAAAAAAGCAAAAAAACTAAACATAAATTGAATTGAATTGATTTATAAGAAAATAAATGTAACCGTTAAATATACTGTCGGTTGGGTCCTTTTTGCAAAAGGGAGTCCATTGAAAATAATGAATGATTTATAGTTAAATTACAAAATTATAATTTTATAAATCAACGTGTCAAAAAAAACGATAGTTATGTTAATACAGCACCGAATTTGCGACCCGGTAAAAGATTCTTACTCAATTATAATAACGGAAATAATTATTAAAATTATATATATATATATATTATATATGATTATAATCAGAGTCAAAAATTCACTTTTTTCTTGATACTAGTGTACAGATATTTGGAAATTTTCAGAAAAATTGACTTTTTCATTTTCTTTTGTATTACCCTTTGAATAAAATGAAAAAAGTGTCATTTTTTTTGTGAAAATTTCCCAATTTTTCCGTTTTTATCATAAAAAACAGTTTTTTTTCCGCCGGCTCAATTTTTCCGTAAATTTTAAAACCCTATTGGCCTAATACAGGGTGCAAAAGTTTTTTTCTGAAATTTTTGAAACCCTTTGGGGTGCTCAGCAATAACAGAGGATGTCAATTAATTAATCATAATATAGTCTATCTTTTCTAAAATTTTTTTTTCTTTAAGTTATTATCTGCATTATAATTATTATAATAATTATTAACAAAGATACACTGTTTTAAAGCCAAACCCTCGTATGATTTCCTCGCGACCGCCAACTGTTGGTTGACTGTTTAGTAACGATGCTGTAATATATATTTTTATTCAGATTTTAATTGAAGCATATACAGGGTGCAAAATTAATACGATTTTATTTCCTGAACTTTGTGACATTCCGTTGGATGTATTAGCAACAACAGCGGATGTCAATTAAAATTTTACTGTAGCCCTATCTTTTCTAAACATTTTGTTTTTCAATTCGCGTTATTATCTCTGTTATTAACAAAGATACACTGTTTTTAATCAAACGCACCGGGTAAAAAAAGAAGTAATTGTAAAGTGGATATACGCTGGAACGGATGTCAGTTATTATAAAATATGACAGTAAATTTGTCAAATGGTGACGGATATTTCTCGTTTTGTGGCATTAATTGAAGATGTTCGAACTCAACGTTATGTATCTAATACGAACGCTTTTTCCGAGGCGTTGACTTTAAAACAATGTATCTTCGTTAGTAACAGGGATAATAACGTGACAATATGCTCAAATTAAAATATTAATCATTTTTTTAGCCTAATATCGTAACTGAAAAGTCAACCTACAATTAAAACAAAATCATCAGAATCAGATGAGTGGTTCGTGAGAAAATCAACATTAAAATTCTGGGCAGTTTTTTTGCTAGTGAGTGTAATATAATACAATAAAAAAGTTTGGTAACATTTGGAAAAAAAATCATCAAAATCAGATAAGTGGTTCGCGAGAAAATCAACATTAAAATTCTGGCCGTTTTTTTTATAGTGGGTGTAATATAATACAATGTATATTGATAAAAAAGTTTGGTAACATTTGCAAAATTGACATTTAACTTTTTTTTTAATTTAAGAATAAAGGCACCCAATGTGGAAAGAACAAAATAAATCATTTCATCATCTGTATTTGTTTGCTTGCTAATAAATGTAAATTACAATATTATGCACTTAGTGGTAATGTTTATTGTTTTATGTGATTATTTATACGATTTAAATAAACATTTACCTATTCGCAGCAGAGCGGTTTCAACCTGTTTTCTTTTTATACGGCCCTTATTGTTTTGGACGTATTTATTGAGTTCTATATCCCATTGTGCAACGCCAAGCATGATGTGTGTATCGAAGCATGGGTATTTCAGTTATCCTATAGTTTGTGTCGATGTTAAAGTTTCCTCACACACTGTTTATTCAATTGTTTCATTCTCCATTGTTATGGATAAAGCTTCGTGGCTCATATAGAGCAAATATACCGTTGATAGCATTAATGAAACTACCATTATTTGTACAACTTTATTTTAATTTTAAATTTCGCTAAATCACGCTAAAATTACTAAATTACATTTTCCCATTTTCACATTAGTCCGATGAAAAACATTTTGTATCTTACTTATAAAGGAGCCCAATGCATATTTTAATAAATAATTAAATGCTCTACATTAAAGGTATCCTTTGGTTTTTCGTAAAACTATCAATTTAAAAGATATAATAGGTGAAAAAAAATATATAACTGGCAGAATAGTCAGAATTTTAAAATGAGTATTACATATTTTTGTTGAAAATTATCTGATCTACAAGAAAGGTTTCTTTTGTTTTTTCGATAAATGTAAGCGCGGAATAATAATAAGTTTTGTTTAATATAAATAATTAATTGGTATAAATGTTGTAATGTAATTATTTATATGACAAATTAATGCTTTAAATGTCTCTCATCAAAGATACCGAAATACTTTTTAAAAAATGAATATTTCAATATAAAATTTCAGAAAAAATGTGAAGTACTTAGTTAAAAGCTTATTTTAATTAATGGGGTCATAAATTAATGAAATTAATTAAAAAATCAGCAAGAAAAATTAATATTTTTTTTACTCCCACCTTTAAAACGCCCATTATCGTACATATTTCTATCACACTAAGTGACCTTTTAAATACACATTGACAAGTTGTGGCTTTATGGCGCTTTAGTCATGGGCTGAAGTTAGTTTTAAGTTATTTGACAGTTGTAAAATGTCAAACAATTGTTAAAAGAAAGTGCATTTATTGTAAAATAATACTAAATGTGAATATTATTTTATAATCTCAATACAAAAATACAAAAGTAATAATAATAATAATAATAAATGTCTTTATTTATTTTTTAAATTTCTGAAATTACAAAATTTACATGTCTGGGCGAAGTTCAGATAGATAAAAAAAATTGACGCCAATATTTGAAAAAACTATATGAACGTTTGTACTGACCTTTTGATTTTGCCGTTGTAGTGCAGTTAAATATATTTAACTGATAAAGCGTTAAAATTTTTGCATACATAAAACATTCTATTCTCTTTTACTGTGAAAAACTGCTTCTATATGGATAGTTAGTCTATATACACAGAAAAATTTGAGATTTTAACGCCGGAAATTCTAACAAAAAATATTTTCCACTTTTTGTACCTTTAACATTCCCGTGTAATAATTTTTAATACCTATTTTGTAATAATATTTTGTAATTATAGTAAAAAATCAAAAGATGGCATTTTTTTAACATAATCATATTTTGAAGTTATTTTAATATTTTAAAGTATCAATAATTGTTAAGTTTAATTAAAATAATAACGGGCAATGTTAATGGTGAAAATTACGTTAAAATTTTTTATTGGGATGGTTACTTTATTTTCGTATAGATGTCGCTTAAAATAAAAATATTTAATTTAAATAATTTTTTAGATAATATTTATAAGTAAATAAGTATTTGTCGTAGAAAAAGTATATAAAAGTTTATAAACTTTTCTAGGCACTAATTTAATTAAGCAAACTTAATACATGATAATATCATGTATTAAGTTACATTAAGTACATTAGATGCAAAACTCGGTTTTTGCACATTTTTAAAAAATAGATTTTATCTTATTTATGTTCATAACTGCACTGCCCACAGCATACCTAAGTAAACCAGATGCATAAGTTAATATTTGTAGAATAAAATACATTTATAAACTTACCGCAGCTGCAAAACTGGGTATTTGTTTCTTCCTGTCGGATGCAAAACTCGGTATTTGACCAATCACGTCGCTAGTATACGCATTAACTGACGTCATAACAATCACCTGATTAATTGTTATTTTTTTTGGTATTTGCACTTTTCACTTGCAAAACTTGGTATTTGAACGAGGAAGATGCAAAACTATGTTTTTAAATCTTTTGATTTCAATTATTTACTAAACTACTTAATTTCAAAGGACTTTTTTTACTTTTTTAAATAAGAAATGATGCAAAAGCACGTCTATACAATTTTTGTATTTTTTTTTAAATATGATCTTATGAGCGGTTTTTCGTGTTTTTCTTAAAATCACTTATCCTGCAAATACAGAGTTGTGCATCTAATGTAGACATATACTATTACGGTAATCATTAAAAAAAGGTTATAGTATAAGTTGAATTTTAATTGCGATTATATCAAAAAACTAAAGACACCTTTCTACTTAGATCAGTTAATTTCCAACAAAAATATGTACCTACTTCATTTTAAAATCCTAAATATTCAAAAATTTATAAAATTTTGAAAAAAAATTGTTTCAAAACTTTTTAAATTTTGACCTAAGATATCTTCTGAATGGCTAGGTTTACAAAAAAACATAATATATAATAATAATATATTTTCAATTCCCTAAATGTTTATTGTACTTCATTCATTTGTTAGTGAGATACAAAATGTTTTTTTATTATTGGACTAATGTGAAAATGAAACCTTGCAATGAGGAGGAGAGTTCATACATAGATAGGCTTTTTTTGAGCTGCCCAGCAACCAATTTTTTAAGTCTATAGTAGATTTTTTGAATCACAATAATGTAGACATATTTCTTGTAGTTGTGTCTGCATTGGACGACTTAAAAAGCGAAAAACTCGAGGCGAGGGATGCGATTCGTTGGCTGGAGTCTCAGTTTCAACAGGGAAACCGATTTTTCCGGGCGCAGAGGCCGCACGAAAAGGCGCCCATCCCGTTCGTGAAATATCCGAAGAAAAGGGACAAAGAAATGCACATCTACATACAAATCATAGAATGCTGCAACTACCTTGCAGAGCAGCAAAAAGACGCGCCGAATCTGGTGACCCTGTTGATCGGCAATCAGAACGTGGTTTTCAACGGGGAGAACAGGGAGTTTAGCTATTTGGGGTTGGCTCAATCGGTGGGGATCACCATCGAGTCCATTGCGCAGTTTTATGGTAAATGGAAGAAAACCAAGATCAGGTGAAGGAATTGCGACGAGCTGTTTGGACTAATTGCTCAGGGCGAGATATCGACCTATATGCCAATACTTTTGTTTTTGTTACTTTTTAGATGGTCTCTAGTTTTATATAAGGGATTGATATATTTTTGGGCATAACTTTGTTCATAATGGTTAATTTGTTTTTAGCAATAAAATTATGTTTTTAATCTGAGTGTTTTGTTTTAATTTTTCCTTGTTTAAAAGGTGGTTAAATTGAAAAATGTACATTTTTATAAATTAATTTTTGCACAGCCAACGAAAAGTTGACCACAAATGGTTAAATACTAAGTGATATCACAAAAAATCGATGAGTGAGGAGGGATCATATTCGAACACGTTCGTGGCGTAAGAAATTAGTGGCTGTGCATATGTAAGTCGAAGATATAAATAAATAAATCCAATATGGCGGTTTGACAAGTAGAAAATGATGAGTGGAAATTTTTAAAATTTTTTAAACTTTTAAAATCCTTAAAATTTTAAAATTACTTTAATTTAAAATATTTAAAATTGTCAAAGTTTTGTTATTAATAATTATTTTAAGTACAATTATTTTATTTGACATATTTCTTCGATCATTTTATCGTTTCCCTACTTATAGAAGTTATTTGCAAGCTAAATAATTTTTATTTTCAGTTATGTTATAATATTATGAAGTTAGTAAGAGTAAGATTTAATTAAAACTTTATCATACTAAATGATAAAAAGTAATATATGTTAAGTTACACCAGCCATACTGAAACTGCCTAGCCATAGTAATTTTTAGATGAAAAAAATGACCACATAATGTAAAACACTTTCTTGCACGGTCTTGTAAGATAAAGGACAATATTTTTCTGTAATAAGGCGAGATTTTTATTAATATATGAATAAAAACAACACTGTTTTAATGTTTCACTAATTTATTTATGTTTTTAATGATTAACAATTGTTTCGCTACACAGTAGCTTCTTCAGAATTGGTACATATTTTATCAAGTGGCGGTATTTATATTAACAAATGGCAGGTAATTTGAGAAAATAAATACCTTGTATAAACATTATACCTGAAGGTATTAATAAAACTTACATAATTTTGGAAAAACTAAGGGTTTGGAAAGTCCAATCTAATATAATATAATATTAATATTTTTTTTTAGTACTACATGTATACACTCTAAAATAAATTTAGCAGAGGCGAGCTGTTAGTTTTAATTTGGTCATTAAGAACAATATCAGATTTTTTCTTTAGTTTATTAATTTCCAAAGACTCTAGAAGATTTAGTTTGGTACCTTTATTGGCTACATGTAATATTTTAAAGTTATCATCAAATGTGTGGTTCTCTTGTTTTAAATGGTTAGCGTATGAAGAATCCTGTTTAAGGTTTATATAGGATATCTTGTGTTCTTTAATTCGTGTATTGAAATTTCTACCCGTTTATATGTTTTCGGACAGTCTCTGCAGGTTAATTGGTAAACACCAGATTTTGAAAATTTTGATGTTTTATCTTTGTTGTTTTTGATAAACTTACTAAGATTGTTGTTGGTTTTTAGAGAGATTTTTATTTCTCGTGGAGCGGCCAAGTACAGTGGAGTCTTTCCAACTTTGACTGTGACGAGTCCAAAACTTCTAAAATCAAAGTAATTCGCCGTGTTAGATAAGCCACTCTAATACGTTTTTGTAATAAATGGTGGGGATTTATAGTCGCGGTGAAGGAATGACGACGAGCTGTTTCGACTAATTGCTCAGGGCGAGATATCGACTTATATGCCAATACTTTTGTTTTTGTTACTTTTTAGATGGTCTCTAGTTTTACATTATATTAATATTAATATATTTTTGGGCATAACTTTGTTCATAATGGTTAATTTGTTTTAAGCAATAAAATTATGTTTTTAATGTGTAATGTGTAATGAGCGGCCAAGTACAGTGGAGTATTTCCAACTTTAACTGTGACGAGTCCAAAACTTCCAGAATCAAAGTTATAGAATTCGCCTTGTTAGACAAGCCACTCTAATACGTTTTTGTAAGAAATGGTGGGGATTTATAGTCGCGGTGAAGGAATGACGAGCTGTTTGGAGTAATTGGTCTTCTTCTTCTTCTATATTTTTTATTCTCTCTTTCAAGAGAATTGGACTTGAGCCAATTAGGCTCTTACTGCCCAGTTACAAGTTTTTACGTCCTTGAGCTTCTCGAAGCCATCCACTCACGGACATGTGGAATTTCAAATCTTGAAACATCCACTAAATCGATTGAACAATTCACAAAATACCTCGCTAAAAGGTTAAAACTTGCGATATTGTCGAGAAATACCGGTATATTTCTATACCGGGAACCCCATTTTATCCTTCCTGGGTCAAAGAAGATTATTATAATTACAATTATTGTATGCCAATCCTTTCTATGCCCCCCGAAGCTTAGCCACAGTAATTTTTAGATGAAAAAAATGCCCACATAATGTAAAACACTTTTTCGTACACGGTCTTGTAAGGTAAAGGAATATATTTTTCTGTAATATGGCAGAATAAACACTGGTGGCGACATCTGTGTGTGATTTTATGTATACCAATATCTCAGTTTTTAGACATGGGACCCACACCAAATTTATAATAGTTTATAATGACATTGAATAAACAAGTTCGGCGCAAACAGAATTTAAATTGAAGATTGCGAAAAAAAGTTAGTTTTTCCTGTTACCTCACCCGCTTCCAGGCCCCCCTATTTGAGATCATTCAAATTAAAGTGGTGCAATTTATTATCTACTATAATTTATCGACAAATTTAAAATTTTATTTAAAAAATCCAAATATTACAGATTTAATTCGATTTTAAATCTTTATATTTATTTTATTAAAATAAAAAAATATTTAAAATGGTATAAAACCTGTAATATTTGGATTTTTTAAATAAAATTTTAAATTTGTCGATAAATTATAGTAGATAATAAATTGCACCACTTTAATTTGAATTATCTCAAATAGGGGGGCCTTGAGGCGGGTGAGGCAACAGGAAAAACTAACTCTTTTCGCAAACTTCAATTTAAATTCTGTTTGCGCCGAACTTGTTTATTTAATGTCATTATAAACTATTATAAATTTGGTGTGGGTCCCATGTCTAATAACTGAGATATTGGTATACCAGAAATCCACCAGCCGCCAAATTGAGGTTGGATTCCAACCTCACTTTGTCCAAATTAAATTATTTTTCTATTTTTTTGGAAACGTAGAAAAAGTATAGTCTGAAACGCGTTTGGAATTGTATATTCAAAAATTGTTACAGAATATACTATTCTGTATTATGTGGGTAGCGTAGTACATGCTATAAATTAAGGTTTAATTCTACTGTCAGTGACCTCACTTCTACTGAAAGTGACAGATACCTAACCTCAATTCTACTGAAGTGAGTCACTAGCGCCATTTAGATTTCATTTCAATATCAGTAACATTTGTGAATATAACATAAAATTTTGTGTTCCAAATAACTAACTAACCAACTAAATAATATAAATATTTGCATAAAATCAATCGACTTTTTTGTGGATAGGGCGATTTTCTCACAAATCATATTATGTTGTAAACATTAACGTATACGGTAGTATATAAAGAGACCGACAGGTGGAGAAGGGACACCGCGGAGTTAAAACATGAGTGTCCATTCGCACCCACAACACCACCTCTGTATGCTCATTAGCGGGCCGGCTCGTGGTACAGTGCACACTCAATCAACATTAAATTAACCACTATCACGGCCGCACCGCTAAACGCCACGTATTACAACAAACCATGTATCGCACAGAACATCGCTTGCATCACGTAAAGTGTGGTGAGGTTTCCAACTAATTACCCACTCTATACGCACTTTGTTTTCTATTCATTTTCATTATGTTCTATCAATACTCGCTCTAATTAATTCCGTCCTTTGTGTAGTGTGTGATTACACTGTTGAGCGGAAATTAAGGTAATATAATTCTTTACTGTGTTACCAACCGAGTAAAAATGCAAATTAGGGTGATTCAGGAGGAATCTAAGATGATCATGATCATGACTCAAACACTTCGTTAGGCGCGCAAATATAGTAGTTACTGAAAACTTTAACAACCGGTTGTTCGGCCGAAACAAGATTTAAAACCAAAAAAGTTACAGTATCTTAAAATATGGCCATTTTTACTATCGGTGCACTTGAAAATACCTACTACCATAGTAAAGTACTATAGTCCAAATCACGAGATGTCACGAGAAGTCCGTTGCGTCATCGATCATAATGGCATTAATCAAGTCTGAGACGTATGTCGCAGCAGTTCCAGCAGTACCAATGACGTCACATTTTAATACATTCAACAAACAATCCAAACCACAGACTGTGATCCAAACGAAGCGATATGCTAAGACCTTGAGTCAACAATCAACGCTAAGACGGCAAATAATCTGTTGTCTTTGTCATCATTGCGGTTTTACCAATACAGCCTAAGAAGACATTATTTTCCATACACGGCCATTCCAAGCCCATGGACAGGACACATCAAAACATGTCTAAATTATATTCTTGTTACTTCCTTAAGTTTACTTATTTTTTCTACGAGTATTTATGAGAAGTATTAGCCAACTTTGGCTAATACTTCTCATAAATACTCGTAGAAAAAATAAGTAAACTTAAGGAAGTAACAAGAATATAATTTAGACATGTTTTGATGTGTCCTGTCCATGGGCTTGGAATGGCCGTACAGTAACGTTGTCCGTAACTTGATAATAAATTTATGACGCAACGGATTTTTCTCGTGATTTGGACTATATGGATGTAAAGTTCAATTTATTAGTAAAGAGTACAGTGACGTCATTCCTTTCTTCGCGAACATGATGGTCTCTCTCACGCCTCGTTCTACCAGTGGCGGCCTTGGCAGAAATTGGTTCTTTGCGCAGCTTACGTCACTGTACTCTTAACTAATAAATTGAACTCCCTTTTTTATGACTACAAAACTAGAAATTATAATAAAATAAGGCCTGCCAAATTCAGACAAACCAAATGTATATAAAATACTGTAAATTGTAATTTGTATACCTAATCGTTTATCAGACAACTTAAAAAATCTTCTATCGAAAAAATTCATAGTAAAAGTTCTTCTTTTAAAACATTGTTTTACTTAGTAGAAGAGTTTCTAAACTGTAATTTTTAAAAATGTGTTGTGCTACCCTGTATATT